AGATAATTTTTTTGTGCTTTTTTTTGCCATCAGCGATGGCTCACTTATGCATTATTGCCCACATTAAAAATTTCAACAAAATTGGTTCATAAATAATGAAGATAGAGCAATTTGTAGTATAATGATAGTGCTAAGCTAGCCCCCAAAATTTAAAAATGAGGGCTAAAACCGCTTGGCAAATCATCAAAAAAATTTCAAAAAATTCGACAAATTGGTTCTGTACAAATAATGCAAAATTTAGAACAATTTGAAACATATCAAGTCCGAAATGAACAATTTTCTGATTCAAAATATTCCAAAAAAATTCAAATTCTCAAACACAAGACCATCTTTTGTGTTTCTTGCCAGCGATTGCTCACTTAGTATGAATTACAGAAACATAAAAAATTTCAAGAAAATCGGTGAACGATTTATGAATTTTTTTTTTTTTAAGCTATACGTACCACCAAAATTTACAAATACCTAAGGGCTAATAATTTTACTAATTTTTGTTCTCTTTCATTTTATATTGTTTTTCATGTCTTGAATTTTGAATGTAAAACATTAGTCATTCTTCATTCTGTTTTGTTTTGTCTTGCTTATACGCCCAAATAAAAAAAGCAAATTAGAACCTGATATAACATTAAAATTATACATATTTTATTCACTTTTAGTTTCAGCAAAAATAGTGATTTTGTTTTAATAGTTCAAAAAAAGTTATAAAAGACATAAAAAATCAGTCACTGTTTTCCATAGTTTAATGAAAAATTTTTTTTACAATCTATTTACACCGAATTTGAAAATGAAAGCATTTAAGTATCTTAAAACAAAATTTTGTTCTTAATATTTATTTATAAGAGTAAGAATTTTTAGAGCGATTTAATGGCGAAAAGGTCTCTAAAACATTATTAGTTTCATATAACAACAAAATATGAAATAATAAATTTAGAAAAAAAACATATAATAACAAATATTTTCATCGTTCACTTCACCACAATTATTATACAGAGTGGTTATAAATGATTTTCATCTAGCCAGCTGTGAATTTTCCATGTAAAATAAAAAATGCCGCTTTACGAAAAAGGGGTACCTACTTGTTTTAACTCAAAATTTAAAAAATCGCCGTTTACTAAGCGTCCACTTCGAAAATAGACTTCAATTATAAACTTGTTTTCTTCCAAAGTATACATTATTATCAATTATTATTGGAAATTAGTTGAAACAATAAAAGTTTAATTAACAACAATTTAGTATTAATTAATAAGTGACACTAATGACAGAACTAGAGCTTTCAAAAAAGTAGAGCGGCACAAATAAAGTTACATGCAAAAAAATTCCAAAGCTGGCTAGATGAAAATCATTTATAACCACTCTGTAATTTACTTATGGTAAACGCCAACAAGTCGCGCTAATTTTAATCAATTGTTTTTGTGATTTGTATGCTTGTTTGAAAAATATTTTGCAAAATAAATGAGTCTCTGGTTCATAAATAATATCAATTTCGATTTGATTTTGTAATTTTTTTGCCTGCTTCAACGAAATTTTTAAAATTTTCTTTGTTGTTATCTCAAAAACGTGCTTAAACAAAGAGCAAAAACAACGCCATTTTTGGCCGAATTTGTGGAATTATTGGATTGTTTTTAACGAAATTTCAAAATTTTGATCCTGTCTCTGGTTCTCTCTGGTTGAAAACGTTAAAAATGCTCAAAAAACAGTTTTTCCATTTCGAAAAAATCACCAGCTACTAGAATTTTTACAAAAGTTTTCACCAAATCATTACAACATGAAAATCACTAGATCTGGTGAAATTTCACACCTGGCAACACTACCACTACCCCATTTAAAAACTTACATCATTGGGACCAATACTGATGACGATATCGTAAGTCCCAACCCACTTGGGCGTGTATGACACTAGATATTCCCCAGGTTTTGGGCTTTGTATATGCGCTTCAATAGTCCCTTCCACGGCTTCAATCTGTACTCTGGGTTGTATAACACTACTGACCGTAAAAGAAGTCCTTTCGCCCACTTGCCCACTTTCGAGACCTCGACCCACAGCTCTTGGTGGTGGTGTTGGACCAATAGGCCCCACACCCAAAGCCAAAGGTGAGCTTTTCACAGGCACACCCCCATACGTAATACTGACTTGGTACAGTCCAGCCATAGTCGGTAAAAACGAAATCTGTTTCAAATTATCCTCGAGGAGGTATTCTTGAGTCGGCATTGTTTGCCCAATCGGGTTGGTCACTTGGACTTCCAAATCAGCATCACCCGAATTTTTGGTTGACACTGTGGAAAAAATCACTAACGGCGCTAAAAAAAAACACCAACTTACCATTAAAAGTGACCCTTTCACCGACATTCCCTTGGACGTGGGGAATATCCACGATTCTGACAATTTCTGGATCAAACCCTTCACAATGAAAAGGACTTCCACTGACCGGTTTGGACTGATGCAAGACTTCAATTTTGTGGCTTCCCACCTCTCTAGCCGTGTATTCAGTTTGCAACTTCCCAGTTTTGGTCTGATAACACCTGACGGGGACCGCCGAGCCCCCAGGTCCACTAATAACAACATCAAACTCCCTTGCACTTCTTCCAAGAGTGTCAATTTGGAACGAGGTGACTTTCCCGACTCGGGCTTGGTACAAGCCGAGGCCCCCAGCCCAGGGCTCGTTCCKCGGCCCTTTGACCGGCACCTCCAACACCCCAAATTTGGGCACATTGTTGTAAAAGAGTGTGACACGATGTGGGGCTGCATGAATTGGGTGAAACACAATTTCCCACATGTTGGGGTTGGTGGGACTTTGACGCACACTATGGGCAACATCTTTGTTACCAATTCTAACACAAGCTGTCAATTTTCCAGGACCAACTTTGTTCATATTAATACCAACAACAGCAGGGCGATGACAAAGTGCTTCAGGTGCGTTAATAATGTCAATTTTTGACGTGTCAAAGACATGGATGGTGCGTGTTGCGATGATTTCATGGCCGCGGTAGATTTGTACTCGATAMGTYCCAGTTTGGGTTAGACTAAACTCGGCTTTGGAGTTGGTAACAATGTATTTGACGTGGTGGTTGTTGTTATCAGTGATTTCGAGTTTGTGTTGGTCACTTGGTAAGTCAATGTAGGAGATGGTACCGATTTGGACATACTGTGTGGCTTCRACTACCGAACAATGAAACGGACTTCCKACCACAGACATGTCATTGAAAGTTATATTGACAWAATGGTCTTCAGGGGTTTGTGGAACAAAAGTCACGTCATACAACCCTCGAGCACACGCCACCACTTCCGCTTTGATGGTAGTGTGTTGGGTGGACACCACCAACTCCAAGGTACCCTCCCCGGCCTGCGCAGCGTCCACACTAAACGTTACAGGTTTACCAACCTCCAAATTGTTCAAATCGTCCAAAATGTGGTTTTTTCGCCCCGGTAAGCCCGAAACMATGACTTTGTTAACGTCGTAGACGTTGCAACTGAAGGGTGAGCCAATCACGTGTTGGTCGTTTATCAAAATGGCGACGGAATGGCGGCCGACCACTTCCGGTGTGAAGCGGGCAATGTAGGTGTCTCCAGTGTGGGTCAARTTTGTCGGGAGGATTTTGCCACTGGGGGCTGTGGTTATGACTTGGGGTTCTCCCGTTGGGACTCCTTCGATTTTTATTTCAGCGCTGTGCCCCACTGCGGCCAATTCGATGCCCGAACCGGAAACGGGAATGCGGGGTTGGGTGTTTCCGGGACTTACTTTGCAGCTGAAGGGCGAGCCCGGAACTGGTTGGCCGTTAAATCTAAAATTTGGTTTAAAAATAACGATTTCAGTTTTTTTCAGTTGTTTCAGAATCTTGTTTATTTTAAGGAAGTCAGGCAAATGACAATTATTTTCGAAATTCTATCTCATTAAAACAAAAGTTTGTTTCAAAATTTCTTTTTCGAAAATTGGAAATTTTAATTTCTTTATTATTTCGTTTTCTCACTTCTCACGATTGTGTGAGAAACACAGAGCATTCCCCAAGTAATTTATGATTTATTTAATAATAACACAAAAATGTCAAAAAAGAAAAATGTTTAGAAATATACAAAGTAAAAAAAAATCAAACTCTAAAATGTGACATAAATTTGATTTGGCAATAAATACGTTATTTGATCTGGTTTATTTTAACGACAATCAAAAATAAATAAAATCAGTGATATTATTTTAGTTTTTTAAGAATGTCGTTTATTTTAAGAAAATCTTTATTTCGGCTTGTTTAGTTCGATTTTCCTTTTTTTTTTTTTTGAAGACACTTTTTTATTACAAAAATTCAAAAAAATTGTTATTAGAAATTTGTTTCAAAATTTCTTTTTGGGAAAATCAAAATTTGGATCGTGATTTTAATGTAATAGTAACACGATAAAAATGTTTAGAAACATAAAAAGTACAACTCTCTGTGACTAAAATTTGGCAAAAATATGTTATTTCGAATTATTTATTTTGATTTGGTTTATTTTAACGACAATCAAAAAATAAAATAAAAACAAACTTTCAGTATAATTTCAGCTGAATCTCGTTTATTTTAAGAAAATCTT